GGCTTGGAGCGTTCCTGAAGTTCTTAGGCCACTTTATGAGTCGACAAAGATTCTAGCTCAGAGAAGGACTGTTGCTGTAAGAATTATTGCTGAACTGTTCATCCTTTCTTTGTGTCATAAATCTTAACAAATATTGTGCTTAAATTGTGAAACAGGCTTTACGCTACGTTCGGCAAATTGCTCATGAGGCGAGTGGAGAAATTCAATTGGGTGGCGGGCGCCAACCAGCTGTTTTAAGGACTTTCAGTCAAAGGCTCTCTAGGTAAGGCGCTAAACTTATGTCTCAAAGTTAGGCCATGTTGGACATTTTTGGTCAAGGCTTGTGTGAGATTCCACATTGGTTGGGGAGGAGAATGAAACATTCTTTATAACAGTGTAGAAACCTCTCTCTAGCAGGCGCGTTTTAAAAACCCTGAGGGGAAGCCCGAAAGGAAAAGTCCAAAGAGAACAATCTCTGCTAGCGGTGGACTTGGGTTGCTACAAATGATATTAAAACTAGACAACGGGCGTTGTGCTAGTGAGGAGGCTAAGTCTCGAAGGGGAGTGGGCACGAGGTAATGTGCCAATAAGGATGCTGAGCCTTGAAGGGGGTGGATTTGGGGGGTCCCACATCAATTGGAGAAATGAACGAGTGCCAGCGAGAACGCTGGGCCTTGAAGGGGGGTGGATTGCGAGATCCCACATCGGTTGGGAAGGAAAACGAAACATAGTTTATAAGGGTGTGGAAACTTTTCCCTCGCAAATGCGTTTTAAAAACCTTGAGGGGAAGCCCGAAAGGGAAAGCTCAAAAAGGACAATATCTGCTAGCGGTGGATTTGGGCTATTACAGCTTGAGATGTTTGAAGTTTGATGAAATTTTAATAACTTAAAACCCTTGCTCTCTTGACATTAATTTCTCAAGTCACTTATAGTTTTTGGAAATGGATTTTAGGGGTTTTAATGATGCTGTAAATGGCTTTGTGGATGATGGTTGGTCGCTTATGGATAGCGATGGAGTCGAGGATGTGACGGTTGTTGTTAATTCATCTCCAAACAAATTCATCGGTTCGCAATATAACCAATCATTATATCCTACTTTTGGAGGTGTATTGTGTGCGAAGGCGTCGATGTTGTTGCAGGTACTCTATTAGTCTATTGTATCCTTTAGATGCATGGCTAGTCATTTCCATCTATATGTTTTTCGATATTAAGTATGAACTTTTCAACTACTTTGCGGTTCAGAATGTGCCCCCTGCTTTGCTTGTTCGTTTCCTACGGGAGCATCGTTCAGAATGGGCTGATTATGGAGTCGATGCATACTCGGCTGCGTGTCTTAAATCCAGTGCATATGCTGTTCCATGTGCGAGACCCGGTGGCTTCCCTAGTGGTCAGGTCATTTTACCACTTGCACATACCGTTGAAAACGAAGAGGTAATGACCTTTCATCCTATCAGAAATTTTTTTTCTCGGGTTTTGTTCACCATATGTCGTTCTTATGTAGTTCTTGGAGGTCGTTCGGTTAGAGGGTCATGCTATGTTCCCTGAAGAAGCTGCGTTAGGTGGACGGGATATGTATTTATTGCAGGTTAGTTCTGCTTCATCTACGAGTTCTTTTATAGACGTCTTTACTTCCCGTTGACAATCCTTGATCAAACGCTTATTTCGCAGCTGTGTAGCGGGGTTGATGAAAGTACAGTCGGTTCCTGCGCTCAGCTTGTATTTGCACCTATCGACGAATCATTTGCCGACGATGCTCCCTTACTACCGTCTGGTTTTCGTGTCATACCATTGGAGTCCAAAGCAGTTTGTGACTATTCTTTGCCACTATACTTTTGTTGAAAATTTTGCAATTTCAATGGAATATGAACTGTATCTTTAAAGGCTACTTTGAACTTGAAAATCTTTGTTAATGCTGTATATCTGTTCTTTTGTACGTTAGGATGCGTCGGCAGCTACTCGAACTTTGGATTTGGCTTCTACTCTAGAAGTCCGTCCTGGATCTGCCCGCCCAGGCGGTGAAACCGATGCTACAAACTACAACCTCAGGTCTGTCTTGACTATTGCATTCCAATTCACTTTTGAGAACCACATGCGGGATAGTGTGGCTGCTATGGCAAGACAATATGTGCGAACGGTTGTGGCATCAGTTCAGAGGGTTGCCATGGCTATTGCCCCCTCGCAACTTAGCTCCCATATTGGTCCAAAAAGCCTTCCTAGCTCCCCAGAGGCTCTCACGTTGTCCCAATGGATCGTGCGAAGCTACAGGTATGAATTCTTGTTGTAACTGTTAACATTCTCAATGAAATGTATGGTTTTGTTAGGAATGTCTGAGAAGTTAAGCAGAGTCCGTGCTCATTGTTCTAACGTGTGAGATCCCACATCGATTGGGGAGGAGAACGAAACATTCTTTATAAGGGTGTGGAAACCTCTTCCTAGCAGACGCGTTTTAAAAACCTTGAGGGGAAGCCCGAAAGGGAAACCCCAAAGAAGACAATTTCTGCTAGGAGTGAGCTTGGACCGTTGCATAACGAGACCACCTATATCATGTAGTCATGTTTGAAACCCAAGGACTTTAATTTGTAACCTTGCACAATATCTATTCCGTCTTTGTTCTCCTGCACCGGTCGTTTTCTTCTTCGGTTCCTCTTATAACATGCGTCGAATTTCAGGATCCACACAGGGGCAGAGCTCTTTCAGGTTGAATCCCAGTCTCATGATGCTATCTTGAAGCAGCTTTGGCACCACTCAGATACAATCTTGTGCTGCTCTGTCAAAACTAATGTAATTTCATACAACTTAGCAATTAATTGAACTACTCACGCCGAGCTAAGATAGCATAATTGTGCTAAGGTTCTTAAGCTGATGCAACCAATACTTACACGATCTATGAACTTTGCAGGCGTCTCCTGTGTTCACATTTGCGAACCAAGCCGGGCTTGACATGCTTGAAACTACGCTCGTCGCTCTTCAAGATATAACGCTTGACAAGATCCTTGAGGATGCCGGTAGGAAGATACTGTGCTCAGAATTCTCCAAGATAATGCAACAGGTAGATTTCTGTTTGGTGATTCATTTTAATGTTGCCACTGCTCACAGTTGACCTGAATTCGTTACGAACATCATGCAGGGATTTGCATACCTTCCAGCAGGGATATGCATATCGAGTATGGGCAGGCCGGTGTCGTATGAACAGGCGATTGCCTGGAAAGTTCTGAATGATGATGATGTCCATCACTGTTTGGCTTTCATGTTTGTTAACTGGTCATTTATGTGATCGGAAAAAATGTGGTTCGATCGGGTTATTTATTTACTAAGTTATATAGTTTATCAATCGAAACGGAAAGAAAAGTAGATGTGAATGTAATTTCCAGGATTTGAAGACGAACTTTTTTTATGTGCATTGTGATTTTGTTTTGGTCAAATTTGGTATGCTTACTAAGTTTTGATTCATGACCCTATTATGCTTTGAAACTGGAAAAAGATCATTGCATCAGTGCCTTCGAATAGACCAATTAAAAATATGGTTTTTAGTCTTGAAATTTCAGTTCTAATCAATATATGTTATTGAATTGTTTTAAAAAGAGATTCTCCATCCTAATTAAGATCGGTAACTATAAAAATTTGGTCGTGTCTATTACTATAATTTTCTTATTAATCTTATTCTTCTCCAAATCACACACATAATAGTGATATCCCGTCTAATCTTGGGATGCATCCTATATAGAGTGTACATGAATATAAACACATAGCACAAATGACGAAAAAACTATCTTCTGGTTTGAAAGACCTCTTGTGATTATTCTTTTCGACTATAAATGATGGAATCGTCCACTTCGATATATAAAAAATAACAAATTAGAAAATGTTGTTATATTTTGCGACGGAAAAGACAATAGTTTTTACCTATCCACCCAGTCTATCAACATTTTTGCAAATATACAAAAAAAGATGTCTTTTGTCACAAACTTTTGTTTTTTTTTTTTTTTTTTTTTT